TCCTTGTTCGCATACCTGTGAAAGTGCTCGTGTTCCTATTCTGAACCAACAAGAGATCGTGGTAAGTGAAACCCAAACGAAATTGCATGTTACCTTGGCCTGGTAAGTTGGTGAAAGGAGGAATAGCGTCGTAGGGTCGCTCGCTTCGCCTCGTACTCGAATGATGATTTCAGGTTTGGCGGTCATGTTCGGCTCCATCATTGACCGCGCCTAGGCTACTCGTGGGCTGGACTTACCTTGCCCGTTGGGATGTCAAAACCGAGTTCCGATCCGACCCCGTCCAATATGCACAAATAACAAGGGAAACATGTCATACTTTGTTCATAAATCGTCTAGTGCATGTGGGTACGATAATATGACAGGATATGCCCGTTATTTCAAAGGATCACTCAGTAGGCTATCATCCCTTCCTAAGAGGTGGGAGTACGGGTCGACATATAAGGTGAATATTTCAAATGGGGTTGCGGTCATGCCAAGCACATAGTGATCGTGATTCTACTTTAAACATGCATATGGCGTGCCAAACCCATCATTATAGGTGAGGCATGGGTTTTGCATAGACATCGGTCACAATTTCTATTTTATGTAGAGATCTGACTTACCTACCAGTCTTTCGAGTTGGTGTTTATGCCGAGATGATGAGGCCATGACATCTTGGTAGTGATACTTGGCTAGTTCTAGATCTAAAGGAAACTAAAAATTTTGGCTAAGAAATCCCCACAGACGGCGCCAAATTGTTTGACCAAAAAATGTTGAGCTTTTCATTAAACCAATTAATAAAGAAAATGGAGGATAAATCTTAGCCAAACAAAATTAACTATAGATCTAAGTATTTTTAATATGAGAATCGAAGGAGGCCTGGCTTATATAACATTTCTTAAGATGATTAAGAGACACCAAACGTAAATGATAAGCTTACATCTTTGATATATTGTTACGTATTTGTAAGAGCAAAGAAGGAAGAGAGGGAAAGTCGTTGATAACTATGAGATCTATCTTTATTGATTCAACAATGATGACTGCATAGAGTTGTAACCAAACTCTGGGCTTTTGCTTCGTTGTTGGAGATCCCCTCATATTCTCATCTTCAATACATTGTTACTCTCTTTTTCTCGGATGGGTACCCCCTCCTTCTTGCCTTCCTCTCTTCTATATATATATATATATATATATTATCAATTTTCCCTTTTATCCAACGGTCTTTAACCAGCGTACCTTCTCATGACTGTATTCTTCCTTACTCGCCCAAGTATTACGGCATATATTCTGTTGTGTAAGCCTTCTGGTAGCTTGATCTTGGCAATAGCCGAGATACTCGTTGCTACTATGCCTCATGGGCACGACTATGACTTGGTTGACCCCGTTCCATTTAATGATAACCATCTTGTGGTCAGATTTTTGTTGCGGAAGCCAAATGTATAGAGTGTGAATAAGTCACAACTACTATACCAAAAATTATGACAGCCACCAAATAATAAATAAGACAATAAAGCAACAATAAAGGGAACACCAGAATTTACGAGGTTCGGCTAATTTTGCCTACTCCTCGGACACAACCAAATATTTTATTCCACTCCAAAAATACAAGTGAAATAATACTAAAGAGAGAAGATACAAATGTGTTAAACAGATGAGAAGGCAAATGAGAGGTGTGTTTAAATCCTAAACATTAGGCCTTCTTTTATAGGGGAAAAATCCCCACAAAATTCAAGAGCCCACCGATGTGGGACAAATTTGCCAAACTTCAACAATTTTGACCCATACAAACCCTTCCCAAACGAGAAACCCTCTATATCCTTCTGATCTTGATCGATCACTATCAATGGACAATACCAAGGATTCTAGTTCTCTTTTGTCTTATTTGGACCAATTTTTGTCTTTGCAACAAGTCTCCAAGGCTCAACCCTCCGATATTTACATTTGCAGTTCTCAAAAACAGGTACAATGGGCTTAAAGCCTTGGCCTTTTCCATTATAACCAGAGATCATTTTGATGACTCCACAAACCCTTTACTTACCAAGGTAACCCACGAATGCATACCCTGCTCGGAAGTTGACTATCTCACAAATCCTACTTTTGTTGACACAGAGTTGCCATTTTTGGCCATACATCTTCCGTATACTTGCTTGCCACCATCTGTACTAGAATCAGATTGAAAGGTCATATATCTACATATGTAGGGATCGAACCAAAGACACCTTTGTTTCGTGGTGGCATTACGCGCAAAGGCTTAATTAAAGCGTCGACTTACTTAAAGCAGACACTGTTCCACTCGAACAGGAACTCAAGTTGTTTTGTGAAGGCCAATCCCCATATGGACCATGTTTTAAGGTACCGAAAGTCAAGTGTAGATAGACCAGAGAGAGTGTTCTTAACGTACCGAGACTTGAAGAAGGACACATTGTGCTATTTGAAAAAGTTGGCAGAATTTATGGGTAAAATATGAGATATATATGGTTAGCTAAGTATTTGGACAATGACGGTAAGAGTAACATGTCTCACATAATTATAGTTTTAGGGAAAATTATCTTTCGTAGATATATAGCTTCTCTTCAAGAAATAGATAATTAATAAATTACAGTAACATTTAGCATGAATTAATGAATATATATATATACACACTAGAGTTACAATGACAGTACTGGGTGCTGAAGCATCAATTATTTTTGGACCCAAACACTACAGGACACTAGTTTTATTCATAACTAGTTGCCACAAAGAAGAGCTTTCGGATTTTCCAGAGAAGTTTTCCAAGAAGATCTCGGGCTCGATCTTGTTTAGTATTATTCTTTTAATGTAAGACTAAGCTAAGCTATTATTCTTTCCAAGGTACGTATAACCAGTGAACATAAAGTGATAGAAGAGCGAATATAATTCCAAGGTGCAAAATTAAGAAGGATGACAAGAAATGAACAAGCTGGTGTTAAGCAACATACCAATGAAGAATTAAGCTGCATGTAGTATATGATCTGAGCATTTTCTCAAAGAGAAATTTGTAGAGCTAGTTTGGCACTCTGGCCCCCTCCTCATTGAAAGATATGGATGGAGGTGGACAGAATGCCAAAATGGCTCTACTGAGATCAGAAACCCTAAAATGAACTGAATTTATAAACTAGCAGAAAAAACTCATATACGCTTCATGTTGTAGATGCTAAGTTACTAATATATTGGGGGTTCACAAATTCATTATGGCCTTTGATTTTTACGAGTGACTATATACAGCTATATATATGAGCTCAAATCAATGGGTCCAACTAAATTTATTACTATATATATGGAGATAAAGTTGGGTGCATGAGCGAGCATGGTGTTAGTACGACTTAGTGGAGGGTAAAAGGGAAAGGTAACGACTTAGTTCTTTCCTTCAGTCTTGTACAATGTGGACACACTTGCCCTTGCATATCTGTACAAGAAAAGAGACTTAGCTTTAATTTGTTTGACTATATATGATGATTCTGATAGCTGTAACTATGATTTGGTTTTTGACTTTTGCAGCAATAAAGGAGAGTGCAAAATGGGGCTGCCATTGTCTCCCATTTACTAGGTAATCACCATTGTCAACTCACATCAATTCTACCCCTTTTTACATTTCAATCTTTCATGCTCCCCACCCCCAAAACCCAATCAGCCTTTTGCTCCATAAATTGTTAATGGGCATTGTAGTATAAATTTTTTTTACAATCAACTCATTTATAAGGTAATTATTGTTATATTTAATAATATTATTTGGTAATCTATAGTAAATGATAAGTAACATATTATAACATTAATGATATAAAAAATTTATTATATTATCATTGTACATGACTTAAGACCTTTATAAATGGCAGATAAAGAGTTGCAATGATAAGATTTGGGAAGAAATTAAAAGACGGATGAAAATGTATTTATATGTTTTTACATGACACCTTTTTGGTTATTTAGCTACTTTTATTTCTAAATTACATGTGTACCTTTTTGTTGCATGACATGTTTTCAGCTGTCAAATTGTGTTCATGCCAAAACATGGATAAGAAAAAGAAAAAGGAAAGTTATCTCAATTCATAAACCTTTATAAAACATATAGTAGTAAAGTATTTCTCTAATGCATGTATAAGTGTGTACTTAATATGCATATTGTAACAAGTTTACATTTTTCATAGAGTGAATCTTGACTAGCATGAGTCCTTAATTTGAATTCACATGCAATCTTTTGAAGTTATTCACATTTCACACTGCCTCCAAAAGTGATCATTTTACGTTGTTTTTTTTTTTTTCTTTCAGAAGGTGAAAAATTATCTTTCTCATATTTACGTATTTGACAATCTTTTTAGTCAATGTACCAGCTAATAAAATGAAGTCATGGTTCATTGATATAATAAATATTCTGCATTTATATTTGACAACATCTCCGTTATCGTCCAGCGGTTAGGATATCTGGCTTTCACCCAGGAGACCCGGGTTCGATTCCCGGTAACGGAATTTAGTTTTTGGTTCCATTTCTATTCAAATATATTCAGATTACTGGAGGAAATGTTATAAAGATTAGGTTGCATCTACAATTTTCTCCTCTGCTTCAGTTACTGATACCTTTTTGGACACACATAAGCAGTCGCACGAAGCCAATAGAAAATTCATTGAGTCATATCATTCTATCATAGCTATTAACTATGGAATTAATAAAACTTCGATTAGAGTATTATTTTTCAAAATACTTGAGATGACATGTTTCTAACCTTACACCACACTTGCAATAATTCGATACGGTCACCCCCAAATTTTCAACATGGACTTTAAAAAGGCATTCCAGGGATTAATATTCTGCAAAAATTACGATCAATTTTTCCTCATTTCGAGAATTACAACCACCAATTCACATTCTGCCCATCCTAATTAGTTCCATTATTTATTAAAATTTCTGATAATATTTATGCTCAATAGAACAAGAAACTAGCATGGACCTCCAATTACAACCAGTGGATAAGGGGGCAATTGGTGTGTTGATATAGAAAGACAAGAAATAAGCAAATCAAACTCAATCCTGCTGTTTCTTGAGGCATTTGACTACGTTATTTACCTGAAAAATGTAACTTCAGATTGAGGAATAGTTATCGTTGTTTTGGTGCATTTACAGGACAGTTGAGATTCAAGTCGAATTTACATGTTCGTTTTATGTCCAAAGAGAAGTGACGATTTGAAATCAACTTCAATCACCTTCTACTAGATCACTCAATCAGATATATACTGCAATCACGAAAGCTAAGCTGAAGATCAGTAATTCCTTCTACCAGCTCTCCGTCGAGCCTTCTTCTTCTTGCTCTTAGGGGCAGTAAGCCTGGAAATAGAACGAATTTTTGGAGCTGGTTGATCATCCAGGGCAAGATCTGGATCTGGGGGACTGGTTGGGACAGTACCCTTCTGCACTGTCTCTAAAACCTGAGGCTTTTCCACAGAATGAATCTTGAATTCCTCAAAATTAGTCATCTCTTCCTTCATTCTTTGATAGTAGATTAGAACACCATCTTCAGGCTGGCACGTGTCAAAGATGATTTAATGAATTCGAGACATATTACAAGCATCAATTCAGCAATTGAGTAGCAAAGAAGATTTAGCTCTTCATCATACAATATGAAGAATATTCATGACTAGCCAAAAAATGCAAGCTAGAAGACAATTGCTTGGCCTCATCAAAGCCTTTTCCTCTAAGACCACTATAATTATCGATAATGCTTAGTTAGAAGAGATTTTTCAGTATCCAAAAGCACAGTGAGCTGAGGACCAAATAGCCAACAGCCAATGCCAAAGTAAACCATAGACAACTAAGGAAGAAGAAAAGAAGAAAGCGCAGAAATCAAATCACGAGGTTATAGTGTCCGTAGAAATCTAAAGTACAAGCTTTCTGCTAGTTGGAATAGTGGGTAGGAACAGCTGTATCTCCTTCACTTCAGGTAAAATAGACATCTACTTCCAAAGCCACCAAACTTTTCCAAGGCGATTAGTATTGAGTTTGACTGCTTTCACGATAGAAGGAACTATTTAACCACCAACTATTACGATCAGAAATTTATTAATTAACCAAGTAAAAGCAGGAAGTAACAAAGACAGCGAGAGAGATCACTCAGAAAAATGGAACATAAAATGAAATCTACAGGAAAAAACACATCCCATCATTTCACCTACCTAATTTGAAAACCACGAGATTAGAAGGGTTAATGATCTATGATGAATGATAAGGCCCATACACAGTACCCAAGAACAACATTAAATGAAGCATAGTGAATCATGTTGAAGTACTTACATTGGCGTTTGTATCCAAAAGAAAGGAACGGTCTTTGCTTTCATTCATATCAGAGATGTTCACCGCTTTTCCACGGCTTGAAGCTGCACTGACAGGCACAGTCATATTATACTCAGATATCAGCTGTGATACAACATCACAAGATTCTACTGGCATTTTGACCCGATTGTCCGGAAGAGAGGCAGAACTTCGAGCTGAGCTGGCCAAAGCATTACATGGTAGAAGTGATTTCAAGTCATCAGTGCTTGAGAGCACTCCAGCGTTCTCACTTGTTACCTTGTCAAGTCTAGTTTTAAGCTGGATAACTTGTGACTGAAGAACCCCAATGTTACGGAGTATTTTCTCCAAGGAAGTATCACCATCGGCAGGCCGTTGGTGCAAGTCATCTTGAATCTCAAACTCATCATCAGCATTGTTCTTGTCAGAGCAGATGGCTACAGAATTAAGAAGTGAAATGATTAAATGCACAGAACAACTAGAAGAAAACCAGCACGAGAGATTAAGCACATACAACAGATGGAATTTTGTATAGGATCACATTTACGAAAGAAAACTGTTATATACTAGACCAACTTCAAAGATGAGATGAATATACACAGTTGGCGGTCAGAATGAATCAAATAATCAACCATACCTCAATCTAAACTAACTGGGTCGGCAGTCGGCTATATCAATTCTTTGCATCCATTTCATTGTATTTAGGCCCATTTATAACAGAAATTTCACTTATTCCTACTAAAATATACAAGTTTTTAAGGACACCAAAAATACTCTTAACAAACACAACATAATGCAACGTGTAAGTGTGTAACACCAACTACCACTAAATCACAACTAAGCAATATCGCCTACATAATCCCTTTGCTTCCATTGTAATGTCCTTAACAAAGTCGTATCAATTTCAAGAGATTGCAAGTCTTTTAAAGGGTTTGTTGGTAATTAAAACTTTCAACTATTTTCAAATTACTTATTTTACAAGGTAAAAGTTTATTAAAAAGGTACCAAGATGGTACAAAAAGATACAAAGAGCATCCCAACATCACCTACAGTCCCTCCTAACAAATCCAGAAAATCCATAAACTGGTGCAGAATTACTTTCAAATTATTCCAACATTTCTTCATATTTTCTTTTGTAGTTTTGGGCTGATCTGGGCTGTGATCCGGATGAGGGTCGAAAAGCCTTGGCCTGGTCCCAGCCAGATATGTTTGCCAGGACAGCCAAGGCCCAATTTATAGAAGTGCTGGTTCGGGGCTCATTTTTATGGGCCAGTTGGCGAGTTTCCTTGCTCTCTTAAGTGTTTTACCACTGTTCCATCTTTTGACGGACTCTCTAGCTAGTTCAGTCAATTAACACAATATAATCCACAATTAGCAAGCACCATCGTATTTCATCCTTGTTGGTTCGCTCATTCTGGCTAGGGTATACAATAACAGCTTAGGGCAGATTCCTAGACCCACGAATCTAGAAAACTCCTCTATATCTCCTCAAATTGAGTTCTCATACTCGTGACCAATTTCTCTGACATATGCTCGATCGCATTTACATATTTGACATAAATCCCTTTCTTACCAAGCCAAGTCCTTGGCACTTTTTTATATGCTTTCTCTAGGTTAATGACTATGGGAAATTCGTCTTACCCTTAATTTTCTGAACAAAATATTGCATATGGTAGATTTATCAATCATAATTTCAATCTAGTTCTCTATTACCCTTGTGATGTCTCTAGTTTATACTCTTACTAACAGTTTCGCCGTACATAAGTTCTAGGGAAGTGCAAAAGAAAATGCACTGAAGTTGAAGGGGCTCTTCATTCCACTATATTTCTTTAATTTCCTATATAAAGAAGATCAAAAACTCATCGATCTCTTCACATTAGGGTCTTCTCTTACTTTCATAGATACCACGATAGATTGCATAATTAAAAGAAAGAAAATTGGAAAGAGGGTAATCATTCTCCACTAATTTTCCATTTTTCCATTTAATATAACATTGGATAGCTTGATTGCAGTGCTAGTCCAACTTCTCTAAGGCACTTCCAACCTCAATATGAATTCTATTTCGACCACATGCTTTTCTAATACTCATTCTCTCGGTATTTCTTTACTTCTATAGAACTAATTTTATCAGTGTTGTTTGTCTATCACAAAACGTACCAACATCTGTAAAGTTATCCTCGTAATTACGTCAAGCAATCAATTGAAATAACATCTCCATCTTATTTGATGCCGCCCTCCCTTTTCAAAACTTGTTAAGAAATTATTTCTAATACACCCATTTCATGGATCTGGCTCTGATACCATGAGAAGAAGTGGACCTTAAGCTTAACTCAAACCCAAAAATTAGCTCATGAGGTGACCATATAAGGAGACCAAGTAACCCATCACCCACCAATGTGGGAACTCAAATTCCCTTGAGACTGAAGGCCTAAAACTACGCCTTTTTTATGTCCTATGTGAGAGAGTTATACCCAATTTGGTCTTTTATCTACATCAACCTAATAATTGTAACTAATTTTACTCCAACAAGCAGATTCTTCATATGCATGCACATATGTGTCACCTCAAGTGTCGTCGACCATACGTATGCCACTCCTTTAAAACTCACTCTTTTTTCACTATCTTTAGTTCTTGGTGCTTTGTTGTCCTTCGTTTTAGGAATCTTAGCTAAGTATGAGTTTTATTCCTCCACCAACCCAGTCCTCTATAACCTAACTAAATGACTAAGCGTAGTTCCAAGCAATCTTGTACCATCAATGAAAGAACTAATTAATTTAAACTGCACAATGGAAGCAAAATAGGACATGTAGCATTTTGGCGGAATTAGAGGCCACAAGATTCAGGATCAACTTCATCAACTGTTAGCGGAAACGTAAAAGAAAGAACACAAGATTTAACGTGGTTCGGATCAAAATAATCCTACGTCCACCAGAGAACAATTGCCCTTTTTAATATTAACAAAGGAAGGGGAAATTTCCCAATTACACTTAAGAGAAGTTCTCTCTTAACTCTCTACTCACTACAATGTATTGTATTATTTTGGGATAATTTCTACAAGTG